TTATTCAAACAGGACACTTGTGAACCAATTAGGTTTGTACAACATAGCAGAATTTTGAATCTATTAATTAACAACCAATCATTATACAGACAAGTGATACAGTCATATAACTTGGCAATCAACTTTGTAATTTTAAAATTAGTCAACTTCCTAGCCATAACAAGTATAGTAAGAAAGCTGAAATCAGCAGTTACCCGGTGGTCATACAATAACAGGGTGGTCTTATACTTTGTGTCAATGTGACCTAAAATAGCAAGTGAGTTACAGAAGTGAAAACAAGCAGTTAGCCAGATGTAGAATGTCCGAGATTAGCAGGTTCCACTGGTTTGTGATTGAGCTATTTCTTAGAACTCAAGGCTGTTGTCTATTTTTTTTTTTTTTTTTTGATCTTTTTGAGAGCTGTAGCCCCAGCAGTCTTGGAACTCACTCTGTAGACCAGGCTGGCCTCGAACTCACAGAGGATCCACCTGTCTCTGCCTCCTGAGTGCTGGGATTAAAGGCGTGCGCCACCATGCCCGGCTGTTGTCTATTTTTAAATATTTCCCATAAGTGAAAAGAGGTTACTGTTAAAATAGCTATTCTGAGCAAGATAGAGTAACTTAAGTTAAGATGCTAACATATTTCAAGCATGTGTAAGATACTTGAAAAAAAAACTTTAATGTGGTTTTTAGGGGAAAAATGAGCCTGAGATGTCCAGAGCTTGCCTTTCTTTTCTTTTAACACATCACATTATTTCTTTGGAGCAAGAAAACTCCTTGTTCCCATCTTTCCCTCTCCTTTTCCTCTCCCCCTCTTCCTGCCCAGCTCCTCAGGAGTGTGTTCATAGTAGCCTATTAACTGATAAGATTTTTAAGATTGTGATGTTGGGAAAAACACTGAAGAGAAAATGGTGGTGTTAATTAGACAGATGGAAGCAGATTAAACTGACATTAGCAGGCAGCCTGCTCTGCTGTGCATTTTTCTTTTATCTTCAGCCCTAGGTGAATCTCCTCTACACCCCCCGCACCCATCAGCCCAGCTCTAGCTCATCTGTCTGTTTTGGCTATGTGTCCTTTTCCCCCTTTTAGAAACCAGTTCCTAGAACTTTGCATGTAAAATACTTTCAGTACTGCGGTCTTCTAAGTTGATTTTTCTTCAGGAATTTACAGGAATCACAGGATTCCTATTTAAACGGTCTAAATAGACTGAGCAACACTTGTGTGTGCATGTTTGGGTGTATGCCTGGGTGTGTGCATGTGTGTGTGAAAACAACCAAATTTCATCTTGTGTGAGTTTTGAAAAATATTTTATTATTTTTATTTTATGTGTATGCATGTATTGCCTGCATGTATGTAAATGCACCGTGTTGTGCAATGCCCACAGACAGAAGAGACCCTGTGCCCACCTCCCCAGTTCGGATCCCCTGGAATTGGAATTACGGACAGTTGTTAGCTGAAATGTGGGTGCTGGGATTCGAACCCAGGTCTTCTGCAAGATCAGTGTTTTTAACTGCTGAGCCACCTCTCCAGCCCTTGTGTATGTTTTGCAGCTGGTGGCTGAACTTGAAAAGTGGGAATGTATATTGTATTCCATTTCCTGGGAATTATCCAGTAAACTGACTTGCTGTGTGTGCAGGCTCTCCAAAGTACAGTTCGGTTAAGTTGAATCAACTACCCAGGTAGTTTTTAATACAAATAAAACACCGATGTTTGTCTGCAATTTACTTTTTTTTTTTTTTGATCTTTTTGAGACAGGGTCTCTCTGTAGCCCCAGCTGGCCTTGAACTCACAGAGATCCACTTGCCTCTGCCTCCCAAGTGCTGGGATTAAAGGCATGTACCACCACACCTGGCTGCAATTTACTTTTTAAAAAGTTATAATTATGACTCATACAATCAGGCCATCACTCAGTTTTTTCTCTTCATGGAGAGAAAGGAAAGGGTGGTGTTGAAGCTTAACTCATATTAGTGGTTGGTATTACCCAAGCCTGTAAGAGTAAGAATGGGGCTGGGGATGTAGCTCAGTTGGAAGGTCCTGGGTTTGACCCCCTCACACTGCATAAACCAGGCATAGTGTTTAAACCAGGCATAGTGATCTACGCCGGTAATCCCAGCACTTAGGAAGTGGAAGCAGAAGGATCAAGAGTTCAAGGCCAGTCTTGGCTACATAGTGAGTGAAAGAGTTGCTTAGACTACGAGAGACCGCGCCTCAAAGAAACAAAAGAGGAAGTTGCTTTTGACAGACATTAATTGTACTAACTGGGAAGTTGTACTTTACTTCCCAAATGTTTATCATTGTGTTTTACTTGTCTGAATCTGGGCATGCCTGTGGTGTTGGTTATGCAGAACCATGTTATTTGTTAGAAGTGGTACCTCCCTCCCTCAAAACAAACAAACACAAACAAAAATAGGTCAGCCTGGTTGGGAGGTACAGTTGTCAGAGTTTAATTAGACAGATGAGCTGAATCCTGGCAACGGTGATGGCAGTGATTAAAAAAACTTCACATTTACTGGCTTTTTCTTGAAAATCCCCCTACAAAGTAGACTGAGTGGAGAAGGAGGGTGTGAATTAGATAGCCAGTACAGATCCACGTCAGCTGCTCTTCCAGTCTTTAGCCCTTTAGGGTAAGAGGACTGCAGCTTTTTCAGTCTGATGTCCTGACTAGCAGGGCCCAGTTCCATCAAGATTTGAGGTCTGTGGCTCTGGCCCATCCCACACAACTGGGTTACTTTTAAAAACAGCAACAAGAACACCTGAATTCCAAGCCAATGGGCCACTGAAAACCCTTACATAATTGTAGAAGGTTTGGGTTTCCTCCGGTTCAAGTTTTCTTGCCTCTGTGATGATCAGACGATCAGAAGGAAAGCATAGAATTTCAGAGGCGAATCTGCAGGGCCGGCTCACAATAAGGCCATTCATTCCTGCTCTTTCACCAGCTCACACAGCCTCTGCTTCGTTCTTTGCCTCTGGCTTGACTACAAGGCTCCATTTAAACTGAACCTACCTCGCAAACTTAACTGATCCAGGAGTGACTCAATAGGACCAGCCGGCTACTGTAGTTCTTTTTCCCTTTTTGATAAGGGGATGGAACACAATGGGCTTTACAGTTCTTAAATGACTCCATTTTTGCTTCTGTCTTTGAGATGTGATGCTTATATGACCTTTTGTTCTTAATAAAATTTCACGTGGCCTGATTATATTTTTTTAAGTATAAACAAACATTGTGTTGACCCCTTTCCCCTTGAATAAAACTTTTCAAATCTCGTAGGTCATATAGAAGTGAAATTCACATGACCTACTATTTAATTTTAATATGTTAGCTATGACTTTATTACCTATAGCCCCAGCTGGCTTGGAACTCATTATGTAGACCAGGCTAGCCTCAAATTTACAAAGATCCACCTGTCTCTGCCTCCTGAATGTTGGGATTAAAGGTGTGTGCCACCAAGACCACCCTAAACTAATTTTTAAAATATTCATTTATTTATTTTATTAAAAATATTTTATTATTTTTTATTTTATTTTATGTGTATGTGTGTATTGACTGCATGTAGGTAAGTGCATCTGTGTCGTGCAATGCCCACGGAGGACAGAAGAGGCCGTCGGATCCCCTGGAACTGGAGTCCTTTCTTTCCAAGTAGTAACAAGCACACTTAGGATTTACACTTCAGAATAGTAATTCTGAGTTTCAGGAATCACCAGGTTGTAGAAATGACCCTCAGTACGATCACCAGAGTTGCAGGGGGACAGTTCCTCCTACATTGCTTCTGCAACCCAAGTTCCCAGCAGCCCTCACCCATGTATAGCCTGGGCTGTTTGAGATTGCCATCTTAGTCCCACCCAGCTCTATGATTACTGTTATCTGCAGTAATTAATCCAAATTGACTCTTTATCTTCTCTATCCAGTGCCCACCCATTCAGTACTTCGTAATTGTTAGAAAGAATTTTTTTTTTAAAGAACTCCCAATTAAAAATGCATTCTGGAGCTCCTTTGGGAAATTACAAATGCACCGTGTTTGTTCATTTCAAGAGGATGAGATTTTTTTTCCTTGAAGGTCCAGGGAGTGATGATCAGGACAGATAGGGGAGGTATGCGGTGATGAAAGTGTTGGGGTTTATAGCGGTTTGCCGGAGGGCTGTTGTGAGTTCTGTAGTAGGACCCATCTCCCTGGTGGACTTTTTTATCAGGCTCCCCACAACCCTGCTTCTGGGAATGAAAGCCAGCGTTGCCTCCAGATGCTAGGCAAGTGCCTTCCCACGGAGTTGACCCCTGGCCTAGACTTTTTATGATGAGAATTTTCAGACCTGCACAAAACCACAAGTAGAGCAAGTGCCCCTATGTCCATCACTCCCCGGCAGGAGCCCCTGGCTTTCTGTCTCCTTTCAGCAGCCCCTCCTCTTCTTAAATTTGGCTACTGTGCTCTGCAAGGGAGACTGGGTGATCCTTCCTCTCTTCTGGCCAGCTTCAATGCTGAGGCTCCACGGACAAAATAGAGACTAATAAGAGAAAAACACAAACATTTACTTAATACAAGTTTTATGTGACATAGGACTGATTAGCAGTGAGGACCTGAAGAAACAAAGAAACCTATATAGTCTCATGTTTGGGTTTGATGGAAAGTGGATGCTTGTGCAGAAATAAGAGTGGACAAAGGGATCCTGACCTAATGGTGATAAACTGAGGAGTGAGCAAGGCCTGCCTGGTCTTCCTGTCCACATCTGTCTTCTGAGATAAGCTGCTGCTCCTTTCCTCGGTGTTTCTCTGGGCACCACCTGTAGATCACCACCTGTGATCTGCTTCTGTGAAGGGCAGAGAACTGTTTCACAGCATTCTACAGGGGATAAGCCCAGGAAAAGCCAGGCAAACTAGCTTTTCTTGCCTCCACTGTTTCCAAGGTACCCCATGTTGAGGTCATGGGTCCCAAATGCTATTATTTCCAAATGGATTCATTTTAGGAATCAAGCAATCAGTCTGACTGTATGCTATGATCTTGAGTAGTCATCCAAATATGTCCTTTTTAGGAATGTGTTCCAGAAAACCTGGAGCTGAAGAAGAAGATCTTTGCCCAGCTTGATCGCATTGTGGACGACAGAGTCATCTTAAGCAGTTCCAGCTCTTGTCTGCTGCCTTCCAAGCTGTTTGTGGGCTTGGCACACGTGAAGCAGTGCATTGTGGCTCATCCTGTGAGTACTTGGTTTGGTTTTGTCTTTGTGATGCTGGGACTCAAACCCAGAGTCTTGCACATGCTAGGCAAGTGCTCTGCCACCAAGGTACACTCCAGCTCCTGGGAGTATGTGAGCCTGGGGAAATGATTCTATCTCATTCTTCTTTTAAGAGCAATAAATTGCTATGAATCTGGGAGTATTTTTAACTTTTTTTTTTAACTGATGTATAATTCACATACCACACTATTGACTGATATACCATTCAGTGATTTGGGATATATTTGGAACTGTGTAACTCAGCATTTAAAAAAAGAATATGCTCGAAAATTCTTTGGCATTTTATCTGTGCACCTAAAGTGTCACATATAGAATGAGCACTGTTTAAAATTTTAGCCCTCAGGGAACTTATGTGGTAGAAGGCTGGCTGCTGGTGAGCAGTCCCACTACTCAAGTAATAGTCCTCCATTAAAAATGTCCAAGTGGGCTGGGGAGATGGCTCAGTGGATAGAGTTCTTGCTGTGCAAGAATGAGGACCTGGTTCAAATCCCTGAAATTCATGTACGGCTGAGAGTGATATGCCTGTTCCTACAGGGAGAGGGGAGGTGGGGAGAGGTGAGTCTCTAGAAGCCAGCTAGCCTGGTGTACGCAGTTGCAAAGAGCAGAGACCTTGTCTCAAATAAGGGAGGAGGCAAGGACCAATGACCAAGGTTGTCTTCTGCCTTCTGTGTGTGCCATGGCACACATGCATCAACACACATACACATACAAATGTATATACACATACAAACACACATGTATCACACACATGTACACATGAGGTAAACAATGTGTATGTCATGAAGGAGTTTATAGATGTGTCACTTGCCCTGTGTGGTTTACTGAAAGCAATCACAGTGTGATTGACTTTGTTAAAATGCAGGTTCTGGGGGTCACTGCCAAGATTCTAATTCAGGGGGTCTGACTTGAAGCTCACTTTCCCTGTTGTTCCTCTTTCACCCATCCACTGGAGTTGACTAGAAACTTCTCCACCAGGAAAACATTATGAGGTGAGCTGGGCCACAAGCTCCAATTAGCAGGTCAGGGCTCAGTGAGTCTTTTCCAGGTTAATATGTCACTGTGAGGGCAGGAATAAGCACAGAGGTTCAAGGATCACTCAGTGAGTGATGTTCGAGTCCTGACCTTGAACTCAGCATGACTATGAAGAACCAGGACAGCCTGTTTGGGTGGGAAAACTAACTTAGCTTCAGCCATGATAAATATGACCAAACAGCATGTTGTTATAAGGAAAAAGCCACACAGAGGAGCAGGGCCAGCCTGGAGACATTCTGGCTGGGTTGATGAGAACTGTGTTTAAAGCTGGAGTATTGCATAAGCAGACCTTAGGATAAGAACAAACAGGGAGTATATGGGATGGGGGTCATGATGGCGTAGGTGGGAGAGCCCATGTTCTAGGGCAAAGCAAGAGGAGGTTGAAAGATTGGAGAATACAGGCTGAGTATCTGTGTTAGTTACTTTTTTTGTTGATTTGACAAAATACCTGGCAAAAAGCAAATTAAGGGAGGAAGGATTTATTTTTACTCATGGTTTGAAGGGATATCATGACAGAGAAACTGTGGTGGAGGGAAGCAGAGAAAAGGTTGAAAGCTGGGCCAGGCTAGTCATCTCAAGGCCCCCCACACCCAGTGAGCCACTTTCTCCTAAGGTTCCGCAACTTCCCAAAACAGCACCATCAGCTGGGGACCAAGTGTTCAAACCCATGAGCAGGGAACATCTCATATTCAGACCATTAACAGCCAAATGCTCGGGACTAGGAGTGTTTCTGATTTGGAAGTGTTTTTTGTTTGCTTGGTTTTTTTGTTTTTTTTGTTGTTTTTTTTTTTTTTTAATATTTACATAGTCTTTACCAATTGAGCATTCTTTAGCTGAAGAATCCCAAATCTGAAAAGCTCTGAAATGTAGCTTTTTGAACACTATGTCAGTGCTCAATAAGTTTCAGATTTGGGATTTTTAGACTGGAGGTGCTCCACAGCAATTGCAATTGGAGAATCGTGAGAGTTCCTCCGAAGAACTGGGCCTGGCTTAGGTCCAGAGCAGCAGTAGAATGTGGTGGAAATGTGGCTTTGGGAGGGTAAAGCAGAATGTTCTTCCTACATTCCCTGTAGTCAAGACACCAACAACATGGGGCATAAGGTGGTATTTAAAGTCTGAGAGACCAGGGCCTAGGAAGGAGAGCAGTACAGTTTTTCAAAACTAGAGCGGTAGAGAGTGGAGTGGTCAGACTGGTCAGAGTGAAAAGAAGGGATAAGCCATAGGTACCCACCAGAATCTAAATGCCAAGAAGCAGGCAGCCCAGACTCTAAGTTTTGCTAGATTAGGAAATACAGTGGAAAGAATGAAGAATGGTCATCAGCGATATAGCCACAACTCAATAGAATGCAGAATAGAGCCAGATGCATTCAGAGTCAGATACGCTAGAGTCAAGAGGGACCCTAACCAAAAGCACCCAAGCATCAAGGCAGTGAAACTGTTCTGTCTTTTCTTCTGTGACATATGGATGTTGCAAAATCACTCTGGAAACGTCTACCACTGAGTACTTTAGTATGAGGCATTTGCTTGTAAGAAAGCTCACCAATTTCTAATCAGTGGTTTTGCTTTTAACTTAGTTAAAAACAAAACAAAACAAAACAAAACACCTAAACTAAATCAAATTGTTCAGAAACTGTGATCTAAGTTGACAACTAGACTTTTCCTACCTCTTTTCAGTTCCTGGTTCTTTTTGTTTTCTGTCTTCTGACTAGCAGGACAGGAAGGCAACTTGAATAATGACATTTCTCTCCCCATCACACTCTTCCCATCCTGGTATTGTTCACTTGTTTAATCAGAGACAAAGAACACTGTTAAAGTCCAGGGCTAGGGCAGTAGCTCAATTGGTAGAGCGCTTGGTTAGTGTGCATGAGGCCCTAGTTTGATCCCTAGCACTGCATAAAACTGGGTATAGTGGCACATGCCTGTAACCTCAGCATTCAGGAGATGGAAGCAGGAAGATCTTAGGATCAAAGTCTTTATTAGCTACTTAGTGAGTTCGAGGTCTGCCTAGGATATGTGAAATACTGACTCAAACATAAAAATAAAGTAAAATAAAGTGTAAATCCAAACCTCTCTGGAATTGGACATGGTTGTTCACTCTTATAATCTGAGTACCAGGGAAGCTGAGGCAGGAGGAACACTTAGACGTTTGATGCCAGCATGAGGCTACAGAGTAAGATTCTTGCTCCCAGACAAAAAAACAAACAAAAAACAAAAGCCACTCCAAATTAATCTCTGGGTTGGGTATCTTAGTGGTAGGGCATTGACCCTTAGTGATAGAGCAAAAGGCTCTAGTTTATAGTCCCAGTAAAACTCTCTCTCTCTCTCTCTCTCTCTCTCTCTCTCTCTCTCTCTCTCTCTCTCATTGCTTTTATAAAGTGTTTTTAGCCAAAACTGATATTAATCAAAGCAATTCAGGTCACCTATGTTATCCATCTTTGGATTCTGTCATTTCACATTAGGGGAATGAGCAAACCATTCTGAATAAGTTGGATGGTCCTAAACAATCAAGAGTCGTTAGTTTTTAGGATCCATAGTTTCTCCCAGTTTCCCAGACCAGACGTGATAGACTGAGCTCACATCCTCAGCCCTGCAGTCCTCAGTGATCTTTGCTTGAAAGGGAAATCAGATGGTGAGGAGGAGGCCTGTTCATGCCCCATGTTTTCTCAGGCACCTTTTGCAGGGGTGGGGCAGAATTTCTGGTCATCTCAGTTCCAGAGGTGAGTAGAAGGTGCTGAGCAGTGGACGTGGTCTGTCAGCACCAAACAGCTCAGCTGGGCTCCAGTAAGGGCTTCCAAGACTAGACTGATCCTGCAGAGGTGGCCAAGGATCTGCTACATGGTGGCCCAGGAAGAGGGATTTTCATGTACCCGCTTTCTCTGTTCTGAAAATTCTTGCTCTCAAATTTGTATTTATTTACTTATTTATTTATTTTTATGTTGTGTGTCTGAGTGTATTGCCTACATGTATGTAATTGCACCCAAGTCGTACAATGCCCACAGAGGACAGAAGAGAGCGTTGAGTCTCTTGGAACTGGAGTTATAGACAGTTGTTAGCTGCCATATGGGTGCTGGGAACTGAACCTGGGTCCTCTGCAAGAGCACCTTAATTGCTGTGCCATCTGCCCCGGCCCCTCAAATGTGTTTTATAGTGACTTTTCTTCTTGAAGGGAGGAAGTCAGATTTCGTGAAGGTAGGAGGGCAGCTTAGAGAGACTAGCAGGAGGGGCATGGAGGCTGAGGCGGGCCTGGCAGGTGTTTCCCATTGCAGTGTCTGTGGTTCCCCAGGATGAGATCAGTTATCCATCAAAGCAGAAGAGGAGTCCACCTATTTTAGTCCCACTATACAAATCCTTCTCTTCATTTTCTTTCCTGATCTGTTAAGGGCCATTTTTTACTGTATTTTGAGACAGGTCTTGCCACATAGCCTAGATTTGTCTCAAACTTGAAATCCTCCTGCCTTAGCCTCAAAGGGTGAGGGTGAGGGGCTGCACTGTGGCCTCCTGTACTGTGGCTAGCTCCCTGTAACTTTACTACTGTAGCGCCCTCAGTTCCAATACCTAGCTGATCCTGGTGTTTCATATCTGCTACTGAGGGTGAGCTGTTGCTGTGCACACACCTGCCCTGGGCATCCTGGTACCTGGTCCCTAGTGGGGGAAGGGTTGTATACAGAACATCGCCACATGGAGGTCTTTAGCTCACTTTCCAGGAAGCAAGAGAGGAGTGGTCCCTGCAGTGAAACCATGGCCATAGCCCCATCACCTAGGTGAGGAAGGAGGCATCTGTAGGAACTACCAGGGATACCTGTGCCCTAGTCAGAACCTTGGAAGAATGTAGCCCTTGGCAGGCTCAGAAGTCGGGCTACAACCCAAGGGTCTGCTTCCTGCTGCTTCTTTTCTGGGGGGGGGCATTTTGTTCTCTCCTCTCCTCTCTTCATTATATGGAACCAAAGAGGCCAAGTGCCCTGGCCAGAGTGACATCATCCCTGCTGGAGCCTCCAGGAGAATTCTTCCCAATAGCCTCAGCTTGTACATGACAGCAGAGTGGCCAGCTGTATTTCAGGAGGTCTAAACAGGAGAGTGGTCAGCTGTGTTTCAGGAGGTCTAAACAGGAGAGTGGTCAGCTGTGTTTCAGGAGGTCTAAATAGGAGAGTGGTCAGCTGTGTTTCAGGAGGTCTAAACAGGAGAGTGGTCAGCTGTGTTTCAGGAGGTCTAAATAGGAGAGTGGTCAGCTGTGTTTCAGGAGGTCTAAAAGACCCAGTGTTTGTCAGTTACACAGCTCTTACATTGACCATGGGGGAGCACTGCAAAATTTGGGCTGGAGGAGGGTGAAGATCAGAACCCTGTTTTAATTAATTTTTTTACTTTTAATTGTATAACCGAAGCATGTCATAAAATTGGCCACTTTAACCATTTTAAGGTATGGCTCAGAGGCACTAAGTACATTCACACCCTTGTCCCTTCACTGACCACCTATCTCAGAGCCCTTCCCTTCCTAAATGAGGCTCTACCCCTGAAACATGAGTTTCCTTCCAATCCCTGCCACTACACTCTATGCTGCATCCACACAATGAAATCTCGGGAGTGTTTCTCAGAATGCATCCATGACATTGAGAGATGCACATCTGTTTTTGCCTTGTCTGTATTTGCCACCTGTGACATTTACCGTATTGCAAAAACTTGGAGCCTGGCATCTCCTCTGTATACTGACGTGGAGTTCATCTGATGCATGTGTGCCTCCAGTGTTTTGTGATCCTAATTCTTTTTACATTTATTTATTTAGTTAATTAGTTAGTTATTCTGTGTGTGTTCACACATGCAGAGGTCAGAGGACAGCTGTGGAGGTAGGTTCTCCTTCCAACATGTGGGTTCTGGGGATTGAACTCAAGTTATCAGGTTTGGCAACAAGTCACTGAGTCATCTCACTGGCCCCTATAATCCTGATATTTTTTAAAGGGTCATAAGTTAAGAAACTTTATAAAAATTTAGCAGGAAACAGTGAATACACTGTGGCATTGATTTATAAATTATTTAAAGCTGAGCTGGGGATCTAGCTCAGCTGTAAAGTGTCTAGTATGAGTGAGGCCCTGGGTTCAGTCTCTGCACCAGAAAAAATAAAAACTCACAGACTCATACCTGTAATACCAGAACTCAGAAAGCTGAGATAGGAGGCTGTTAGTTTAAGGGCAGTCTGGACTTCATAATGGGTTCCATGCTGGCAATTAAATAAAAAATAACTTTAAAAATAATAAAATAGAGATGATCCCTGGGTAGACCAGTTGCTTTCATGAGGCCGTGCCTTTTATTTTTCTCTCTGAGCAGCTACTTCCCTGCCCCCTCCACCCCCTGCTGTAGAAGTCATGGTAGAATGGATATTTTTGTGTATAATCTATAGTCATCACTGTGTACAGAGGAAAAGCCATTGAGGATCCTTCCTCATGGACTAGGTTGCTGTGGTACAGACTGGTTGGGTGCTACCAAGCAGCATTTTCTTTGGATGTATGATGATAGTTCTTGGTAGAGAAGAACCAAAGAACTTTGTCAATGTGAACCAAGAAATCAGAGCTGAAGGGTTAAGTACTGAGCCACATTAATATTTCCATTGGGCCCCTCTCATGGATGGAGACTCTTCTGTCTCCAGCTATCCCAAGTCAAGGTGTAAGGCTGACATACTATAATGCTTGCTGATGTCCAGAACAGAAGGCATTAGACTGCAGAAGTGGGTGAGGTCAACATGGAGGAATCAGGGAAGTATCAAGCTTTAGGAGATTCCTTTTTTCCTTCCCCCCTTCCCTCCCTCCCTCCCTCCGTCCCTCCCTTCCTTCCTGAGAAGGTCTCACTCTGTAGTCTAGACTGCTTTGGAACTTACTGTATAGCCCGAACTGGCCTCTATCTTGAAACAATCCTCCTGCCTCAGTCTCCTAAGTTTTGGAATAACAGGCATGAGCCACCACATACCTGGCTCTCTTGTTCACCTTCTTTGTTTTTTTGTTTTGTCTTTTTGAGACAGGGTCTCCCTGTAGCCCGAGCTGTCCTGGAACTCACTATGTAGACCAGGCTGGCCTTGAACTCACAGAGATCCTCCTGCCTCTGCCTCCCAAGTGCTGGGACTACAGGCGTGCGCCACCACGCCCAGCTCTCTTGTTCACCTTCTTAACACACATGTAGGAGAATGGCAGAGCCTGGAGAGACTAGGCTGGGAAAGTGGTTGTGGGGATGGGGTTGGGTAGACACTATGTCAATTACAAGAAAAGAAACCCATCCTGGAGAGGCTGGGGGGGCTGGGAATTAGCCATAAATGTATACATAGGATGGCAATGTTGGCCTTGTATGTTGGTTCCTTTTTTTAAACAAAACTATGCAATTTTGTGCATAAATCCGCCCCCCCTTGTGCATTTCCTTTTCAAGTGTTGTGGATGTAGAATCTAAGGGCCTTTCCAAAGTTGCCCCCACCCTACTTGACCACTTGAGGTAGGTGGATAGAGGAGGCAAGAGCAACACCCCACATTCAGAGTCCTGGCCTTGATTCTCTTCCTCTCTCCTAAGGTGAATCCACCATATTATGTCCCGCTGGTTGAGCTGGTCCCTCATCCAGAGACAGCCCCAGCCACGATGGACAGAACCCATGCCTTGATGAGGAAGATTGGACAGACCCCAGTTCGAGTCCTGAGGGAGATCGAGGGCTTTGTCCTGAACCGCCTGCAGTATGCAATCATCAGTGAGGCCTGGAGGCTGGTGGAGGTTTGTGCCCTATGTCCTTCCCTTCTTCCCTCCCTTTCTGCCTTTCCCTTCTTCATCCCTCCCTCCTTCCTCCCTTGCTTCCTTGGTTGAGCAGAACAGAAGTCCTGGGAGCTGGGAAGTCAGAGCATATTCTGCTCCTGGCTCTGTTCTGGAATCCAGGGTAATCCATCTGGAGATAGAATACAGAGTGTCAGTTCAATGTCTGTCAAGAGAATCTCCTCTCCCAGTCATCACTGATACCAGGGCATGTCTGTGACAGGCTGCATTTTCCCCAAGGTAGTTTTTTACTTCCTGCTATCAAAGATTTTCAGGATGAAAAAATATTCTTTTTGTACAAAGTAAACTTATATTCCCTGAAAGAACCCAACTTATCAAGAACTGGGAGAGAAACCAAGATAAATACTAAACTTATTAGTAATAGGTTTGCCTTGCATACAGGTAGGCATTGCATTGAATCTATATATGACTCTTGGTAGGATGGTCATTTTCACAATATTAATTCTTCCAATCCATGAGCATGGGAGGTCCTTCCATCTTCTGATGTCTTCCTCAATTTCTTTCTTTAAAGGGTTAAAATTTTCCTTGTAGAGCTCTTTAATGTCTTTGGTCAGGTTTATTCCAAGATATACATATAAAATCTTGCAGCTATTGTGAAGAGGCGTTTTTCCATGTACTCTTTCTCTGATTGCTTGTTATTGGTATGTAGATAGGCTACAGACTTTTGTAGGCTAATTTTGTAACCTACCGCTTTACTGAAAGTGTTAATAATATCTAGGAGTTTTCTGGTGGAAATTTTTCTGTCTCTCAGGTATAATATTATATCATCTGCAAAAAGGGATAATTTGATCTCTTTTCCAATTATTATTCCTTTAATTTTCTTCTCTTGTCTTATTGCCCTTTGTAAGTCAAATTCACTGCTAGGAGGTGCATGTGGTGGCACCCAATCCCCCCCCTCCCATGGTCCTTGTGACAGCCTGAGGAAAAACTTCTCCAAACCCCAGTTTGAAGAATTTTTTCAAATGAGTTTATTGTACTTTCAAATCTTTTTACCCTAACTGCCTAGCCAATTCCTACCTCCTATTCTTATCACACCATCCTCTGAAGGGGTTACCCAAATTGATGATAGTGAATCTGGACGCAGACCACTCTGGCTTCTTCCATGCTGAACAGGGACTCAGGGTGAGGCAATTGGGGTACCTCTTCAGTGGGTCTATCTAAAAGACTCCCAAATTGCATAACTCTTATCTCTAGGGGGAAAAGAAAGTCCTTGAATTGTGAATAGGAGATGTGAAGGAGAAGTTCTAGACAGGGAACTAGAAAAATGTCAGAACAGGGCAATTTTCAAATGGTCATATGAAAATCCATTGGAGTTTCTTGACAAGGCCTTCCAAAAGCATCCCTTTATTGGGTTCTTCCTCATTTTTCTTTTGTCTTC